AATATTAAATTATAATTTGACGCTCACCAAGCATGAGATACATGAAACAAAATATGAAGGATAATTCGAGTCCTTGTCCCGAATAAATTCTATCACCCGGTACTATATCGCCAAATCCAATTGTTGACAATGAAACGAAACAAAAATAAGACCCATCTAACATGTTCCAATCTTCCCATTTTGAAAATAGTAAAGCACCTGCTATAACGTATCTAACGACATAAAAATATATTTTATTTGATATATATATATATATATATATATATATATATATGTATGTACGTATGTATGTATATATTAACATTATTTTTTGGGTCCTATGTAATATCATGACTTACCCCACCATAATACCAAGACAAAGTGTTAATGGTACTGTTACTTGTTGTGGGTCGTAATCGTAGCTATCGTTATCATCGTTGATCTTATTGTTCATACTTTCTTTTCTATTAATATTATTCATTTTTGTTACGTTGACATCTTGATAAACATTAGAAATTTCTGTTTCTCCTACGTGCTGTTTCATTAACAATTGAATCGATTAATTAGTTCGATCTTTAATATAATATTTTAATATACTTTACATATTAATTAAATATTATATAACATATAATATTTTTATATATTTTAATAATATACCGACCTGCCATTGATCTCTTTGTACTTTCATTTCCGTACGTAATTTTAATACTTCCAAATTAATCGGATCATGTGATTTTCTATGACATCTAAAATGTATCGACGAGATTAAAAGTAATTGGGAAAGAACTTTTTATTTTTCATATATCTTACTTGCAAAGGCAACATCTTGCGTAAATCCACTTGAAACTTCTAGCAAAAATATCTCCTATCTGGCTTAAATAAAGTAGAAACAATGGCATACCGATTATGGCATATATTATAGTACACAATTTACCCCATTTTGTTTTAGGACAAATATTCCCATAGCCTTGAATAAAACGAGAAAAAGACAAATGAAAATCCTTCAATGCCTCATATTATTTTTACATCTACAATTTGTTTAATTATAATAACGAGTATGAATTGATAAATAAGAAGGAAAAAGAATAAAAAAAAAAATGATTTTTCTTACCGATCGTCGTAATGACAGTAAGAGAGTAAAGAAATGCACCCGCAAAAGTCCACTTTTTGTGTTCTTCAGTAACAACCTCATAACCGTCTCTTATATTTTTAACCATTTTTTGTTGATACCTCTCTAATATATTTCTAACTTCTTTTTTCCATAATCTCTCAGAGAATATATTCTCCTGTATGTAAAATAAATGAGATTAGATTCACTGTACTTCACAACCCTATGTCTTCATTCTTCTGTCATATACATTGTGTAAGATGTATCATAATAGAGTAAACTTTGAAGATTTATTTTGATTAAATTATATGGAACAAAGCGTCATTGTTATTTTTGTTATGATAATAATCGGCATATTTTATTCTTTCATTTAACTGTTGTAAATTTTGCGACATACACAGGTTCGCGGCATATAAATTTTGTCTTTTACAAAGCCGCAAATGCAGAAGTTGAGGAGTGTGTAATATCTGAAGATCTGGATGAGTAAATAGTTTATTGTCACCGGGGCCAATTTACGCTTTTAAACATTCATAAAAACTTGAAGTGTTACCGACTGTTATACAACTAATCTCATTGTTGTATTCCATATAGTTCGATCAAAATAAATTGTTAAATTTGTTTATCTTATTATGGTACACCCAGAGGTATAAGGGTTTTGGTGTAACCTTTGAGGTCAAGTCCCAAAGCTTAGCAGCCGTGATGTTTCTTTGCTTGACGACGTCACCGGATATGTCCAAGCTGTCTTTGGCCTCGATATAAGTGAACAGGAAAGCACCGACTATAGTATAACCTACGACGAGGCATACTATGCCAACGTTACTGAAGAGGAAGGCTATCAGTGTCCTGGTCCAGTCACATATCTTCTCGCTCCAAGGCTTCCGTCGTCGTCGTTTCCTTCTTTCACATTGATAACGATAACTTCCACGTTGCCACTGTCCATTCGTTGTTGATGGTCTATGCAACGATTTGTTCGTTTCCATTTTATCGAAATTGTGATCTCAATGATTTAATTTTTCTTTCTCTTTCTTTCTTTCTTTCTCTCCTTTTTTCTTTTCTTTTTTTCCTCTTTTTTTCTTATTTTAACTAACTCTGATATCTTCGAACTTGATTCTTATGTGTGATTGGAATATATATTGTAATAGTTATCGATTATAATTTTGTCGATGATTTAATTTTGTTTTTCCTTTTTTCTTTTTCTTTTTCTTTTTTTTTTTTTCGTTTGTCTTAGTTGGGTTCGATTTCATCGATCATTCATCTTGAATTTGATTTTTATGTGGTTTGAAAATTGTAACAAAGGAGACTAATTAAATGGATTTAAACGGGTTTGTTTTTGCTGATAGTAAAATTAATATTGGAAAGGTTGACATTTCCATATGATAAATTACCTATTACCTCTTTCATCTTTGCTCAGTTTCTTTTTTTTTTCTTTTTTAGTTTTTTTTTTTTTTTTTTTAATTATACTTATCCTTGAAAAATATCATTTATCCTGACGTTATATACGTAGTCGTTTCATATAGATCTTCCTTATCAAGGATTCCATACGAATAGTCCACGCTATCATTTACGTTCACTGATCCGCACGACCGGCAAATTGCAATGTCGGATTTAATAGAAAACGTCCGTATCGTCGTTCTCCCTTTTCTGCTTTTCTGAATTATATCTCAGCGGTCGTTTGATATTGACTTTGTTGTTGTCATGATCTGCGGAGAATCGAAAAAGCGTGTATCCTCAGAGAAGCACATTGCTTGGTAGCTTGACGTTGACGATCTATTATCGTGAGAATTGTTTAGATTTGGCTAATGGAACATGTAAAAAGAGATGAAAGGAGATAAAATTTTTGAATGAATAAACAAGAGAAAAAGAAAAAAAAGAAGAAAAAGAAGAAGAAGAAATAATCTAAGTTATCGTTTCACGATTTGTCCTAACGTTTTTATAAATTTCAATAGATCTAATTAAATCGTTATAATTGCATCATGCGATTATACAAGTCAGATTTTTTCGTTTCTTTTTATTTATCAAATATTATTATTGTTATTTTTATTGTTGTTATTATTATTATTTTTTTTTTCTTTTATTCTTTTTTCAATAGACGAAATACGTCGATAAATCAAATTAATCGCGTATACATCACGTTCATAATGTTTCAACATTTTAGTCCTCATTGTCAGAAAATCATAATTTAATAATGATAATAATAATGATAATAATAATGATAATAATAATGATAATAATAATAATAATAATGATAATAAAAACATGATGTACAGTTAAAAAAAAAAAAGAAAAGAATCACGTACGTAATATCGATATATGGTATAATATAGATGACTTTCGTCACGATCTCTTACGTTTTTCTCGTTGAAATTTATATATCCGTCGATACGTTAACGTTTATAATTGTCAAATAAAAGCAATTACAATAAATGTTTCGACACGATATTCGCGTGCACTACTTTCGAGAGGTGCCACCCGACGTACTAATGAAAATAGCATGGCGCTAAAAATAATCGACTTCCAGCTTGGATTCAGCGGCCTCTAGTCGTCGCTAGAGTACGTATTGACTTAGCGCACACCCGTTAGCTTTTAATTCAAATATAATAAAGAATATCAAGGGAAAATTGGATTATCGACATTTGTATCATTCAAAGATAATGTTTCCATTTTACTCATTTATTTATTTATTCTCTTATTTTCTTTTTTATTTTATTATTATTATTATGCAACTTTTGTTCCATAAAAAAGAGAAGACAATAGAACGAACGATAGAGATAGAAATAGAGAGAGGGAGAGAGAGGGGGTAGGAAGAGGGAATGAGGAGAGAGAGAGAGAGAGAGAGAAAAGATAAAAAAATTAGTATCGACGTTCATCGAGATAAGAAGATTTTCTTTGGCTGTTATCACATCGTTCTTCAAAATCATCCTCATCGACATCATCCTCGTATTCCGCATCGTACCTGTAATCATCCTCATCGTCATCGTCATCCTCGTCGTACTCGTCGTCGCTATCTTTTAATATACCCAAACTTTTCGCAATGCTTTTAACGTTATTGATCACTTCCTCTTGGACCAAATTGAAACTCATCGCCAATAAAGCGATTCCAAATAAGAGATACAACGAGCACAGGGCTATTCCTTTGTGAGCGTCCAATTTATTCGGCACGAAGTCACCGAATCCTAAAATTAAAATAATTAGTTCAATCGAAGGTATGCACACTCTATTTTTATTGACGAAATGTATATTTAAAAAAAAGAAAAAAGAAATGTTGGTATGTCGCGTTTGATTTTATCTTTTCTTTTTTCTTTTTCTACTTTTTCCTTTTTTCTTTCTTTTTTTTTTTATATTGAACCGCTCGCATTTGACAAAAGTCGATTAACTCAATAAGAAAATGATGATAAAAAAGAAAATTGATAAAGTTTATATATATATATATATATATATATATATATATATATATATATATGTATATTGCAGATTATTTATTCGTTTAGCAACTTTTTAAGCCTTAATTAGATTATTAAGAAAATTTATTTTAAGTATAAAAAGTTAAACATCGATCTCATGATGGTTTGAGGATGAGAAAAGAAAAAGAAAAAAAGAAAAGAAAAGAAAAAAAATAATTCTAAAAATTAAGTTAATCGCTATTATCTGCGAACGATAAAATTAAATATATTAAAGAAGATTATCTCAATTATAGACCTATAGTAGTGAGAGTAATAAAGCAGAAATAAGCGCTGTCGAGAAAAGTCCACTTTTCCCATTTGCTAAATAGACAAGCACCGCCCAATATGTAACTAACAACGAGAAAAATGCAAAGCCAAATGGGTACTGGCTTTATCGGTTGTCTTTCTTGTTCGTCGGTTGTGGTGTAAAACTCATAATCAACGTCTATATCATCGGTACAAGCACGTCGGTGCATCGCAAATCCTATTGGCGACAAAATTCTCGGTAACGATGCTTCTCGTCTGTGGAAACGTGCTGGAAGAAAAAGAAATAAAAAAATAAAAAAGGGGGAAAAAAAAATAGAAAAAAGAGAAGCAACGATTTACGATCATCGATGAAAAAAAAAGTACTTAGGATAATTATTCTTTTTTTTTATTTTTATGTACGTCCTTCTCTCTCTCTTTCTTTCTCTCTTTCATTCATTATAACATACAATATAATTTTATGAACTTTTTTATCATTGGAATAATTACTTGGCGAACGTCTAATCCTTTCTGAGTAATATCTTCTGTTTTGTTCGATTCCTGATAAATGACCTGATGATAATTGATACGGAGTTGATAATGTTGATCTCTGTGGAGGTAGAATGGCACTTTCCACCGAATGAAATCTTCTTGGTAATGATCTAGTTATCGATGTAGGCTGTCTTTCGATGTCCTCTAATTTATCTTCTACTTGTGCACGATTACCAAACTTGCTAACATATTCGGCTGTCGATATATATATATATATATATACGATATATGTATATATATATATATATATACGATATATGTATATATATATATATCGTATATATATAGATATATATGTATATGTATGTACGCATATATGCATATGTCATGTGTGTCCATATGCGCGTCACTTGTATGTATGTGCGTGCACACACTTGCCCGCGCTAGTATATATATATATATATATGTGTGTCACATATATGCATACGCGCGCGTGTGTGTGTGCGTGTGTATGCGTGTGTGTGCGTGCGAATATATCAATAATGAATGTAAAAATATCGATAATAATATCGATGATAAATATAAAGTATTAAATTTAATGAAAATCTTTACGTTTATTTCGTGATGTAGATTGCCATAAAAACAAATCATCCTCGACATCATCCAAAGCATATTTATTACATAGAACAGGCGAATGATCAGTTTCTATAGTTCCACTTGTTAATCTTCGATCGAGAGATTGAGTACCTAATCTAGGATTACCTGTTTCGGGAAATAATAGGATTTAGTGAGAAATATTCAATCAATGGTTTTATTCTTCTTTTCTTAATACATAAATCCTACCTTTTGTTAATTTTAGAGAGGATAAAGGTATATCCGTATTTCTGAAGGAGGTCGTTGGCCTTAATGCCGTAGGAGAAGATAACTGATAAGAATAGATTCTCCTTTGGTCCATTCCATTCGAACGTCGAGAATTATCCCTGATTTTATAGAGATTTTTTAGAGAGAGAAAGAACAAATTTATATATACATATATATATATATACATATATATATATATATATATATATGTACGTGTGTACATGTATATGTATTGAATTTATATTTGAAAAATAAAACGACTATATATACAGGGTGTTTTATTTCAAACGATTATGACCAAATATTTCCGATTCTATTGATTTGACGTTAAACAAATGTTAGAAATAAAAATAGTCTAAAGTTTTTAGAGTATAATGTAATATATATTGCAGCTAATTTATAGAAGACGCGGTTGTTAAGATACAGAAGTCATAATTTTGTTTAAATAGAAATCGATATTCTGAACGAACTTTATAATCTGAATACACTTTTTTGTTTGAAACATCTGCTTATAAAACCAATTGGTATAGGAGATATTTGGTCGTACCGTTTAAAATGATACACCTTGTATGTTGTATACCTGCAATCCGTATCCGAGTAAGAAGTTCGTGTCAAACCTTCGGGAATTCCTAATGTTCCGTCAGTTGATCTCTGACTCAGCCTAATCGAACGTCGGAAAGATGCAGCTCTGTTGTTAATATCGTATCGCCTAAAGAATTTGTGGTTTTTCCATTTTTAAAAGAACGAACATTAGATCAACGTAACTTTAATGAAATGACTAATCACCCTGATTGCCTTGCTGAGTAGGATCTTACTAAACTGGGACGTGAACGTCTCTTCTTTGGTGGCTTCGTACATACATAACAACATACTTTCCAATACAAGAACCTAATAAAAATTTAGAATAAATAAATAAGAAAAAAATAAAGAAAAAAAAAATATATATATATAAGAAAAGATAGAAATTCCTTGAACGAAGATTTTTTTTTTTATACAATAAACTTCTTAAGAAAAAATGAATCTCATTGGATCATAGCTATATTTTCATAGAATTTATTATAGTTATGTAATGGCATATTCTTCAATATAAAAATTTTATAAAGACATAGAAAAAAAAGAAATAAAAATTAAAAAGATAAATAAAAAGAAAAGAATAAGAAGAAATAGAAATTCCTTGAGAGATTTTTGTTTTTTTTTAATTTCAAATATCATACATAAAGTGTAAGAGAAAAATGAAAGAATAAAGGAAAAAAAGAAAAAAATCTCATCGAATTATATCTAAATCCGTATACATTCTCATAGAGTCAAAGTTAATCATAGAATGAATAATTAATTCTTACCTAAAGCTTGATGCCATTACGTCACCGATGTTAGACAAACAGAGAAGCATCAAAGGTATTCCAACGACAGCGTAGAATATCGTAACGACTTTTCCATTTTTAGTTTTAGGTGCTATGTGACCGTATCCTAAAATTAAATTTAAATTTATTATATTATTTAACATATGACCTATTTATATACGCACCAATTATATATATTTAATATTATATAATATTATATATAATATAATATATATATAATATAATATATAATATATATATATATATATATATATATATATGCAAAGATAATGTTTGGTATTTAAATGATCATTCGACAAGGTCAAATTCGGTGATTAAATGATGATTTAACGTTTGAGCATAAAACTTTCATCACGGTCCAACTGGTCCATCTTGAGTTTAGGTTAAGGTCATCAAGTTCCAGAATACAAATCTGCTAATTAGTTTTATCTACGTATATTATATTATTTTACAGATTTTAGTAAAGAACTTATGTTCGAATATATATATATATATATGTGCGTGTGTGTGTGTGTGTGTGTGTGCGTGCGCGCGCGCGTATGTGTATATGTGTATTTGTATAAATATATAGGTAACACGTGTGTACGTAATATATATGAGTAAATTAATAAATGGATTTTGTCTCGCCTGAAATGTTTTACACATGAAAAAGATTTCCAAAGGAAAGAGATAAAAAATACAAGAAAAAAATAAGCCAAACAAAAGTTTTATCAAAGTATACATATATATTATTTTGCATATTTCAGGAATTAGCTTATGTTTGAATATATATGTATATAAGTAAATGCGTAAATGGATTTTGTCTCGCTTGAAATATTTCTTATATAAAAAGATTTAAGAAAAAAAAAATATACGACGAAAAAAAAAATGGAAAAAAGAACAAAATGAGTTTTACTTACATATATATATATATATATTTTTTTTTTTTTACAGATTTCAGTAATTGGTTTATATTCAAATATATATACATACATACATATATATAAGTAAACGGATAAATGGGTTTCGTTTCACTTGAAATGTTTCTCGAATAAAAAGATTTAAAGAGGAAAGAAGAGAAAATACAATGAAAAAAAAAAAAGTATAAAAAAGAAAATACAAAAAGAAAATAAAAAAAATAGAAAAAAAGAAAACGTCAAACAAAAGTCATCGTAAAAGAGCATTCAATGTTTCCTTCTAACGTCTCTCACGTTGAGCTCTTATCTAATTAAAACAAAAATTATAATAATGATGATAATAACAACAACAGTAGTAATGATAATGATAACAGAAAAAAAAACAGAATAATTTAATTTAATCGATTTTACGAATTGTAATTAAAATCGATCGATGAGGACAGCATCGGACTGTTTCTGTTTCTGTATCCGGCGGATGCAAAATGACGTAACGATCGAAAACAAAAAGGGCAGGATGAGCAGAACGTTCGATTTAGCATGAAACTCGGTCATGCGTTCCTTTGTCGTATTGACTTTATTTTTCATGTAATGAGGTTACCATCGGTCTCGTAACGCCACAAAGATACGTAAGAAATTATAGAATAATGCTTGTAACTCAAAATGTAATACCAAAATAAATCGACAATCATAAATAATATATATTAATTTATAACGTAAAATAATATTCAATTTTCCTAATCGTTCCTAATGGAAAAATTATCTTTCTTTTATTTACAAATTTCTTCTATCTTAATCACATATAAATTGAATATTCCTACGATATGTTAGTGCGATTAGAGATAGATAAAAGTTAATTAATTAATCAATTAATTAATTTTCAATTTCGTTATAAAGATTTTATTACCTACCATTCATTTTATTAGTAAGGAGAAATCTTAAAACGATCTTATAAAGTCAAGTACTTTGTAACAGTCCTTGCGATTTTAATTACATTTGAAATTCTTACTCTTCTAAAATATGTACATATACGAATAAAAAAGAAAAAATGTAGCTGCTATTTATAGGGATGGTAATTAGAAGGTCACTAATTTTTTAAGATTTTTAATTCATTAATATTTTATATAAATGATCACTTATCTATTCTATAAAATTCTATAATAAAATATCAATATGCAATACAAATGATTAGTATTACATCGATTAATATAAAAAAACTAATTAGTATTGTAATTGAAATATTTGTAAACGTAATAACTTGTTAATATTTTTAATAGTTGATCAGTATTAATTAATAAATTTAGATACAACTCGTACGTAATCATGCTATTTAATTATTTATACACCGATCACTCATATTACGTATTGATATTTTATTATAAATACTTATCAAAATATTCGTATATATACCAATAATTTATTTTATTAAATGTATATTTAATAAAAATATCAATATAAATACTGAACAAATAAATAGAATTAGGATAAATCTTAATAATCGTGATCTTTTAAAACTAACCGATGAATCATCATCATCACATCCAAAGTGATAATGACAATGACGACGATTGCTTTAACAAAATCATTTGAGAGATTTTTTTTGAAGGACAAAAAAAGAAAAAGGAAACGAAAAATAGTAGTCAATCGAGACGAGATAGTTCGTTGAGAGAACCTGTATGTCGATCATTATTATCCCAAAGGACCTCGACTTGAACCACATGGTACGTTCACCTTCCCACGTTGCATATATAAAGAGACGATTCACTTTCACTCTCATTTAGTCGCCTTCTAAAGGTTTTTGCGTTAAGAAAGTATTATCGTACTACATACGTAATAACAGGTTACAATAGTGTAGCAATATATCTTTTCAGAAGAAATTAAGTAACAATATGAGATTTTATATTTTTATTTCTTGTGTCGTTGTCAGTGTACTATCCGAAAACGGTAAATGGATATGGGAGAATAACAACAATGGACAAAGTAGAACTACCAATATTGGAAATGCAAGGTGTGTCCAATACGAACAATGTCTAAAATGAACTCTACCATCTTTGTCCATATTTTTATTTTGGTTTTCCTTTTTTTTTTTTTTTTATTTTTGTTTGTTTCTTTTCCTTTTTTATTCCAAAATGCGAATGAAAGGAACGGATTATATTTTCAACGATTGTTACTATTGTGTATGATAGATATCAAATACACGAGAATACCGACGATTTGGAGAACTTCAATACGGGTGGCCCATTCGTGGGATTCAGGCCAGAGAACATAGGATCCAGACCACAGCAGCATTCAGGCTCTTATGGTCATGGAAATAGGCCGTTCGTGACGACTTATCCGAATAACAACGGAGTCTTGATAGGACCTGGTGGACCGACAGGAATTATTGGAAGGTATATATATATATATATATGTATGTATGTATATGTTATCAATTTTCACGTCCAAAAACTAATACCAAAATCTTACATTGCATTTTAAACAATATTATAATTTACAAATGCTTCTCATAATTAATAAATTTAACTTATACTCATTTGCTTGGTCATTATAAAAATGTTAATGTAACGTCGTTGATTAATACGTCGAATGCCATTGATATTATTTAATTTCAAATGTTTCGATAATTTTTTTTTCTCTTCTCGTTTTACGACATTTGAAAGAGTAAAAGTATAACGTGGATTTTTCAAATGAATTATATTTTAATGATTTTGATGTTTAATGTAAAAAAAAAAAAAAGAAAAAAGAAGAAAAAGAAAGTATATTAAATACATCTTATCCGCAAAATGTAATGGAAGATATTAGATGTATACATAGCGATATCTGTAAAATTGGTTTGGCCACTCAACGTGTTAATTAACGCCGAGGTAGTTATGAAATTTCGATAATGACAGGCCACATCCACCGAGCGGATCGATCATCGATTACGACGATAATTTAGATTCTGGACATGTACCCTTCCAATATCTAAAAGGGACGCGTTATCGCGAATACGATACCTGCAAATGTAGATACAGTTTTAACTGTCCATCGGCTGGATTAAAATTCGTAAGTTTTTATATTAAAAAAAAAAAAAAAAAAAAAGAGAAAAAAATAATAAATAAGTAAAAAGAAAATAAATAAAAGGAAAACTATGTGAAGGCGCATTTTGAATTTCTTACTTTTTAGGGTGCCTGTGCGAATGGCAAACGATATTGTTGTTTCAACAGTAAAAAATATCCAACGTTAGTATCAGGTGATCCACGTGACAGACATTGATAGTTTAACATAACCACGTACATACGTAACGCATGTAAGTAAAATATAAAAAAAAAAAACATTTTGATTTACGAGTTTGATCATAAAGTAGCTTTTAAATAAAATTTATTTCTATACATTTCAGTAATCTCGAATTATTCATGACGAAAAAATAAATGCAACCTTTTACCATCGCGGATTAGTTGACATTTAGTTGATGATAAATGTGAAAAAGATTCATTGTATTTCTTAATCATTAATATTTATTTATAAAGACAGAAAAAAGATATATATATTCTTTTTTTCTTTTTTGTCTTTGTATGTAAACATTCATGAGTGAAAAATACAATGTAAATTAATATAGGTCCTACATAGTTGGTGTTCACCGAAAGAATGTCAATGAGAATTCTTTGAATGTCAATGAGAATGTGAATAAATTCTAATCGCATCGAATTTCTCCTAACTACATATATACTACTAAGTTGCCAAATCGTCTTTCAACATGACCTTCGACAACGTTCGATGCTTAGAATAAATGAATTGGTTGATAGATTTAATAACGTAATCGTAAGTCAAACTTTCAATTAATTCGATTAGTAGATTAAAACGTTATGCACACAGAATAACAGCGTAAGCGTGTATGTGTATATATGTATATATGTATGTATGTATATATGTACGAGTTTAGACCTTTTCAATTACAAATAGAAACTTCAAAGACTCTATCGTTGATATTAATTCGATCAGAGGATTGATGAAATGCTACGTATGTATATAACATGTAAATATATATGTATGGATGTATGTATGTATATACATCGTGTTAGATGATTTCTTTCAACTCACCAATCGTCGTGATTACGATAATTGAATAGAATAGGGCACCGGCAAAGGTCCATTGTATGTTATTTTCCTCTTCGCTTCCATCCCAACCTTCTTTTCTGAGTAACGTAAACAAATTGCTTTCGAAACCCTAAGAAATGGAAAAAGAACAAAAAAGAGAAATATATATATATATATATATATATATATATATATATATAAAAGCCCATGTACACGTAATAAACGTTTTGGAAAGATATAAACGTAAACTGTATTTAATATATTTTTTTGTAATTTATCTTTGTAGAAAAAAAAAAAAAAAAAGAAATTTCCTTTTTTCTCGTTTCATCTCTTTCTGTCTCTACCTGTAACTCTCGTAAAGCATCCAACGTCCAATTTTCTCGTACTAAAACCTCAACTTCCTTCGTCAATTTCCACAGCTTTTCCGTTATGTTTCCTCTTAAATACTTCACGTTTTTCTTTATCTATAAGCCAAACCGGTTAAAAATAATCAAACACACACATGTATGTGTGCGTGTATATATATATATATATACATATATATATATCGTAAAAAGATAAAAAATAAATTTGAATTTTACTCAAACAATAAATTTCTTATCTATATTAGTTATAATAAAAAAATAAATAATAAAATGATCAAATGAATATGGGATAAGACGACACGAGGTAAGATGTGGACGATTGATCATCGTATAGAGTTGGCTGAAAAGTTTCTCGGTGATATCAAACATCGATTATTCTCTCTTTGTCGAGATTTTTCTTTTCTTTTCAAACTCTAATTGTATATTTTTCTTTTCTCTCTCTCTCTCTCTCTCTCTCTCTCTCTCTCTCTCTCTCTCTCTCTCTCTTTTGTAGATAATAAAACAAGATCAAAACGTTTCTTTTTTTTTATATATAGAATTGAATTAATCTAGAAAGAGTCGCACAATCTAGGGATAATTAATTTTTAATATCACATAGAAACCTGTAATTTTTTTCTTCTTTTTTTTGGCACAGCCTCTACATATATATATATATATCAGAATTTTGAAGATGAATTTCGTGCGTCAAGAATACTTTATAAAAACTTTATTTTCTTCAAAATTGTAAAATATATTTGGGAATGAGCTGTTCTTATATATACATACATACATACATACATACGTATATATATATATATATGTATACACGCACATAGACACACGAACACACGTATATATCTTGACCTACATAGAATATAATATACCTACCTGTTTCTCATGATCTGCCTCAAGGGATTCAAAGGCATATGCACCTATGACACAATATGCCACAACCAGGGAGACCAACGTTACGTGAGAGAATACGCATCTGCTAAACTTCCAAAGAAGACGTAAGAATTTTATGCATCTCGAAGGTTTCTCGAGATCGGCAAATGGATCATATATCTCCAATCTTGTATGTGACATTTTACTTATCTCAAAACGACAGGATATTATCGTCTAACGTTTTCAATTCACGACGTGTCAATTCCTGACAGACATAGGAAATATATATCTATCCGTTGCCCCTTTTTCTCTTTTAAACTTTTTACGTGTTCATCACTTATTTCGTTCTATTTATTTTAACGTCTATTGAATATATTTCTTCTTCATACCGGTTCCATGGAATCCACGTGTTACAAAATCTTTCAATCCAAACGTTCTCTCATAGACGCGGAGATTTATTTTTGAAACTCTTTGTATATTATACAAATCATTCGATAGACGGAGGAGGATATTAGAAACGATTCAATGAAAATACATACATAGATACGTACATACTTATATACATACGTAACGTAAGTAGGCAAGTACGTAAGTACATATGTAGAGTTACGTAGGAGAACTTTTGGAAATGATATCACGATGAAGATTATGATAATCTATTTTTCTTTTCTTCTTTTTCTTTTTTTTTTTTTCTTTTTTTTTCTTTTGTTACGTACGCAATGTCACTTAGTCGGACATATAAGTATAACCGCGTACCTTCATTCACAATAAAATAATGAACGTACAACTCATTAGATCAGAACAACGAATACGATTCAGACATAACTCGACGAGTCTGATCGATCGTCGATGATATTTCGTTGTATAGATTTTTGAAAAAAAAAAAAGAAAAAAAAAAGAAAAGCAAAAAAAGAAAAAAGAAAGTAGGAAAAGAAAAAAGAGAAAAATTTCGTCACACACTTTTTACATATCTATATAAACCGTCCAAATGTCGACGTCATCCACACTTCCCAGTATCTCTCTCTCTCTCTCTCTTTCTCTCTCTCTCTTTCTCTCTTTGTCTCTTTCTCTCTCTCTCTCTCTCTCTCTCTTTCTCTTTCTCTCTCTCTCTTTCTCTCTCTCTCTTCTCGTTAACACGAGAGACACACTGGGAATAATCCTCGGCACGAAACTAAGACAGTAGAGACCGTAACATAAGCGAGTTTCATCTCCCGAACGGTTGTTCCAAATTTATCCTACCACCGCCATATCGTCGGATTTTCGTCTGTAAACGAAAGAGCCAAAGCGGATCCACCTACAAAAGCGGTAACGAATGTAGTTAGTTCCTATAGTATACGAAAGCAGATATACATCGGTTAGAAACAAAAGCATTTGTCAGCCGTAAATACTATGTTTCAAATACAATTAATGGTACTTTATTTCTTTAATACAAGTTTTAACGATATATGCCACTTACTTGACATACACAGAAAAATATTTTTATAATAGTTTTTCGAAGTATTTATAAACAGAGAAAAGAAAAAAAAAAGAAAACAAAACAAAATGAAAAAATATCAAGGTATTATTTTTATAGATTTATAATATTAATATATATATATATATATATATATATATATATACATATATATATATATATGAATAAATAAAAATTATATATAGTATTGCATATGTAATTATGAGATTATATTTAATTATTATAATTCAAGCTTTATATTGGCCGAAGTATTTGAAGCAATGGTCACACATGTCATAAAAGATTATTGCAATGATTTGGTAACACTATTCGTACCAATGAATCTAATCGTACTCCATCTATGTTAAGGTGTACATACGATTTTAAAGATCGTTAAGATATAATTTTATATATAAGTTAATCAAATTCAATCAAAATCAAACATAATATTATTGATTACATTTGATTTACATGAAAGCTACGATATTGTTTTAAAGAGATTAAAGCATTTTAATATATATATTAACTTATTCATTGTATAATGTAAAAACATATATATATATATATATGTTTGTTTTATTTATCGATTTACTAATGAGGAAGTGGGTAATACTCCATGAAGATACATTTCATTGATATAATTATTGACCTTATTTATTTATTTATTTATTTATTTATTTATTTATTTATTTATTTATTTACGATGAATGTGACTTTTTCATTAAGTATATAGTAAGTTATATACAGATAGGAAACATCGTTGAAACGAGCAATCTAAGCTCGGAACTAAGTGTACTTTAAGACATTATCTTTAAAAAGGCACGTAGTTCAATGAAAAAAGATACATCAGTTTTCTAATTAATATATAATTTCAAAGTTTCGTGAGAAAATATTTATTTCATTTCATTTTTTTTTGCGCTATATCATCATCATCATCATCATTATTATAATTATTATTATTATTATTATTATTATCACATCTTTATGATTTTCCTTATATTGCGAATAACGAAATTTTTATTAAAAAGAGATGATAAGAAACGAGGACAGTCTTGTCCTTTTCAAAGATACTTTTTCACAATAGACACACTCGAAAATCGTAGATTAAGCGTAAAGGATGCGAGTAAATTATTACAAGTTAGATATGAGACTATTTATATCTATAAATGGGCTTTCTAATCTAATATTGTTTACATTAATTATCGGTTCATGGTGTATACATGAATCGCTTTCTCTTAACTTGTATTCAAGCACGTATGAAACGCATAAATAAAGAATTAGCGTTTCGTTTAGTACGGAATATAATGGTATAGTCAATCTTATTTTATCCTATATAAAGAAAGCGATCGAGGTTCACCATGAAGGAAAACTAGACATAGCGACGTGAAAGAAATAGATAAAGGGATAAAGAATATACTGTAATTAAATCGTTGTCACATAGGAAGTTAGATAAATAAAAAAATATTTTTGAAGGAATAAAGCAGGATGTTGCTTCATTAGACTACCAAAACGTGAAAAAGGTTCGACGAACGCATTGAGAATACAAATCTTATGAAGCTAATATAATGATGCATATATATATATATATATATATATATATATATATATATATGTATATGTATACCTTTGATCGATTTAAATTTGCGAGCTACATATACATACGTCTACGTATAAAATAAAAATTGTAAATTGACAATGTTACATGGTAGGCTATTGTAATAATAAATTCTCGATATAATATTTCTATCAAGAAATCGATAACTAAAATTTCATCGATCCGTGACTTAAGGATCAGGCGTTTAAATTCATTTCGCAAACGATTTCGATTTAACGTTTTTAAAATGACCTTAATTGACTCTACGATATTTTTAATCCTATATAAAAGGACGATCGTTGAGATTTGCGCCGATCTCTTTAAAGTAACGAACACGTCAAAGAGAAGAAGGTTGGGGGAATAAAAAGAAAAAAAAGAAGAAAAAAAAAGAATTAATGTAAAACTCTATCAGAGTTCTTAGCGAAACTAAAACGTGACGCTAGCTTGGACCGAAAAAGCCAAGAATTTGAAGTGTTCTGGTAACTCGTTCCACAAGCTGATCCTTGTATCGCCAAATCGTCGTATCTAAGATGCTGTTCTCGCGATATTCAACGCAAGTCTTTTTTAAAGACTTCACACAATCAGCACGATAATGCTGTAGCTGAGCATCTTCTGTCTCGATCGGATAACTCGTACATCCGGCCCCAAGGCAAGCCAAAGGGAAGTGATTGTGCAAAGTGACGACCCGTTCAGGATTATGGAAGCACTTGATGTACTGGTTTGGTTTAGTGAAGTTCTTCGAACGGTATACGTGCTGCAGCATATGCATGTACCTGAGTAATAAGAAGAAAATTAAACATTAGAAAAGATTTTACTCCTGTATCTAATACATGAAGAATTATTAATTTTTAATTATCACGCATCTTTTTTTTTGCATATTCTTTATCCCCATGTATATATATTGATTATGATAATTTTAAATATAATACCTAAGGGAGAAGTATCTCTCTCCTCTCTCTTTTCTCTCTCTCTCTCTCTCTCTCTCTCTCTCTCTCTCTCTCTCTCATTGCAAAATTGTCACGTTAATTATTATTGGAAACTTCCGCTTGACCGACTTGGATGGCATTGAATCGTTTATGCCAACCACGATTCTGCATGCCACGTTGCATTCTTTAATTCGAGACCTTCCTAACGATTTGGTTGTAATTTGATGACTTGAATAATGGATGGAATTGCGCGAGCGATAATATTTTAGAATATCAAAGCTCGTTAGAATTTTTACCCCGATGATAATTAAACGATCGTCGAATTTAAATATCTTCGATATAATATTCTTTTTCAAATGATTTTGCTTTATCTTTTTTTCTTTTGTTTTTTTTTTCTTTTGTTTTTTTTTCTTTTATTTCATTATAGTAATTCAATTGTACATAAGATTCAATTAAATATGAAATATTAATTATTAACGATACGTGAAAATAAACGGCTGGCGAAAATAATTGTCACGGGGACAAACAGGATCCGAGATACTGCTAAGCAATTATTATTATGTGCCGTCGTGAAAGTCGTAGCTCGCACTCACCTGGGTATGTCCTTGAAATGGCCATGGGGCTGCAGCAGGTCGTCGAGGAAGTAAACGTTTCTCACGTTGTAAGAGGCGCGTGTCTCGTTTCGTATTTTAAAGGCCTTAGGTAATACCCTCTTCATAAGGTCCTGCCAGGTAGCGTCCTTCACGGGCATGATCACTTCATCAACATCTAACAGTGCTATGTATTCGTATTCGTACATATGTTTGTATAGACAATCATTGTATGGTATCAATTCGTTTTGCCTCTTGTGATTAGTTTTTTTCGTTAGATACATATGTTGAAAGGATGGAACATTAGGCTGTCCACCGGGTAATGTCAAAGGCGTCACATGAACCTTACCGAGTCTTTGATAATAATTCAAAACTTTAGTTATGTTTGGATGTACTTGAAGTTCATAAAAAAATATTTTGTCGGCCCCAAGAAGGGTTATCAGTTCAATCCATTCGACCAATCTTACGGAAAGATCTTCGTGAAGAAAATCAAGACCCTTAACGCAAACGGCAAAATCCTTTTTACGTTTTGGTTTATTATAAATAATACGGAGATTGTTAGTCGGTGTATCGCATGGTTTTTCGACCATAGAAACGGACGCTGGTGGTCCCTTCGACCAATGCGATTGCGGCACTTTACAAGCTATAACATATGGCTGATATATTCCCTGTTTGTAATTGCCCCATTTCGAATACCAAATATATTTGTATTCGAGATATTCGACTACAATTGGACTTTTATCACCGTCATACCACATCTGACAATAAGTTTTAACCTTAGGTTCGATCCTATCGATCATTCCAACGATCCTTATAGCAGGACCGATCCTCGAAAGCTTACGTTTATCATAAAACGCACCGAAGAACTGGAAAGTACCGTTGCTTGTCCTCAACGTTTGCCAGTAAACGTTATTAAATTCTAGATCATAGATCGAGGGAAACTTGAAATTAGAACAGCTCTCGTTACCCTTCTTTGATATTTTGTTTTGTTGACCGTTCAACCTGTTATTTTTGCTCCAATAAGCGAGAGGAAGGCTAGGTAACCTTTCTTCAATTTCTTCGATCAATTCCTCCTCGGTCTTCGCTGGTCTTTTATCCAACAATGGTTCTAAATCCAAAGGATTTCTCGTTACTGAATTTTCATTAATATTTTTATTACCTACAATCGTAGTCGTTGGAAGAATTGATCCACCACCAATTATATTCCCAAAACCAGTCTCGGGATCTTTCGATCTTTGCAAAAGATAACGAGATAGACCGAGACTCGACGAACCATCTGATATTTTATCATCGGTTCCCGTTCTCACGATGCCGGCCTCCCGACGAAGATAATTATCCTCGATGACTACGTCACTAACTGCATTATTCTCCTCGGTATTACTACGACCGTTACGAAGTGCACTGTTTTCGGCATGACGAAATTGCACAGCCGCTATCATGAGGAGACTCCAAGCGAAAACGAATACGAGGACTCGTCTGGCACGTCGCGACGTGCTCCCGTTGCAACTCTGCAACATCCTGTCGTACTTGTTTTTCCCCTCTTTCCTCCTCTCTATGTCTTATCTCTCTCGCTCTTTTTTAATGTGTTCTTTTCTTTTCTCTTTCTCTCTATCTCTATCTCCCTCCCTCTCTCCCTCTCTCTTTCTCTTTATCTTTCACGAAGCACCTCTGTTTCGATCAAGCACAACACCGCTTCCGCATCGGTCTTCTCTGTAACACATCAAATTATTTATTTAATTATTTTATATTACATATATATATATACACACGTACACACACACACACACACACATAAAATTAATTTCTATATCGTGAATAATTTAATTTATGGTTAAATATCATGCAAAATGTCAAATTTTTAAAAAACAAGTGGTACAAGTTTAATCTAACCTAGGTCATAAACGAGGTCATCGACATTCGAGATTGTCTATGAATTAAATCGAATATTCCAGTTCGATATTATTCATCGAAAATGCATGCATGCATACATACTTACATAAATACATACATACATAAATTATATCTTATGCAACAAACAGAGGGAGAGAGGAATAGTGATAGAGAGGAAAGCATGATGGTACAAGCATACGAAACAACTTCTCATCGGTTATCAATAATTTGCCAGAATTTTGAAATTATCTGAGAGAAAAGGAGAGAGAGAGAGAGAGAGAGAGAGAGAGAGAGAGAGAGAGAGAGAAAATTAGAGGACGGAGAAAATGATCAGTAATACGCAACGTTTGAAAAAATATTTCGTCTGATATAACACTTTCGAATTTAATACAAATTTATATTATTTTATTGAAATGTCCGGAATATACATATCTTTTACATATATATATATATATATATATATATATATATATATATATATATATATGTTTCATATAAAATAATTATATGTAAAAGTATACACATTATTTGTATTGTAGTAAATATATTAATTTTTATTTGTATTATTTCGTACCTTTTCTCTACATATAGTGTTACATATTATTATGCATTCTACGTAAAAAAATAATACAACTAATGTAATAATAAAATTGTATTATAAAAAAATAATACAACTAAAAATTAATATATTTATTCATATATTTATTGTTATATATGTATTTTATTAACATATACGTTTTAATATATTAATATTCGATATGTATATGTATATATATATATATATCCGAATATGTATGTTTAAAAGTACTAAATTATTCTTATTTTTAATTTACCGATTAATTTTAATTTTATTTTATTAAAGATGCCAAACAATATTGATACGAACTATTTCGAACAACCACAATATTATAATTTTGTGTATATCTCTAATCTATCTTTTATTTATTTCTTTCCTTTTTCTCTCTCTCTCTCTCTCTCTCTCTCTTTTTTTTTCTCTCATATATATATATTCACCGGTATACATTTCCCGAGATTAAAAGGAGCTAACCGAAGTGGAAAGGATTTCTTTAGGTGGAAAATTTGTGTTCCAAGGGAAAAGTTCTCTTACTGTAAGACGACGAATACGAAAGTAAATCTCAGCAACGATAAATATCCAGCTACGTTTCACATCCGAGTTAGCTTCTCTGTGAAACTCGCGCCTCGTGAAGCTTCTCTAAAGAAGAAAGTTGTAACGCAGCTGGATATATCATTGGCATGCAGATGACGAACATACATACTTATGTAGGTAAATACTTATATATACGAATACAATCGTCGTATATGAATAACGAAAAGAAAGGAGAAAAAGAAAAAGAAAAAGATAAAGAGAAAGAAAAAGAGAAAGACAAAGAAAATATAAAAATGACGATGTGCACACGAATAGAATCCTGCGTAATCATTGACACGTTGCATAGTAAAGTAAATAAGAAATAAAAGAAGACGAAGACGAAGACGAAGAAGAAGAAAAAGATAGACAAAGATAGATGTATAAGAAACTTTTAAAGGAATTTCAAAGCTAATGTTTCACGATAAATATTAAAAATAATCTGATAAAGATAGAGTATATATTTGTTCACGTATATAAAATAATTCTAAATTAATAGTTAATTGAATATATCCTTTGTTAGAATATATATATATATATATATATATATATATATATATATATATATATATATATATATATAATTGTAGTAATGGTAATAATACTAGTAATAGTAATAACAATAACAATTATAAACAACTTCTTTATATAACTATAATAAAATACTAACTAAATATATATACATATGTATACATATACATTTTTCCTATTGCTCTTAATGAAGGAGATATTCAACTGACTTTTTTAATTTACAATTATCCTCAACATTAAATATGTAATAAGATTATATCGCTAATTCCTATTACGTAGAAAAGTCATCGACCCTTGAAATGAGACAGAAGAAATTACTTTATTCATTGTGCGGAAGGTGTCCCGTGCAAGCGATACGCTTTGCTTAAGTAATTACATGTTCGAAAAAAAAATAAAAAGGAAAAGAAAAAAAACAAAATCTTTATAATATATTATAATTAATAGATTATGAAATTAATTAACATATTAATATAATACATTTTAATTCTTAAGAATATATATTAAATAAATTTTTTTTTTTATTGGAAACGTATAACCTCTGTGTAGGATGTATTAGAAGACGAAGAGGACTATCGCTTTCTTTTATCAAGAGAAAATTATCGCGCATGCGCATAACGAACAAAGTACTCTGCCAAAACAGATAGAATGATGTTTTCTGCCTTTATTCAAGCCAACTGGCGATATAACCTTTATTTAACATATACATATGTACGATAACGACACAGATGATACATAGGAAATGATCAGCGAACGAACGAGTGGACGTATAAGTGAAGAAAAAAAGTAGCAATTTTGTGATTATATAAAATAGAAGAATGACAGGTACGCATCCTCTTTAATAATATAATAATACGTTTTTATATAATCTATATTGTATCGTAATTCGTTGTATATATGAGAAACATACATAAATTTAGAAGTATCCGATCTTATAATGGATTTGAGATCCAAAGAAAGATAATTGAAAGAAAGAGAGAAAGAGAGAGAGAGAGAAAGAGAGAGAGAAAGAGAAAGAGAAAGAGAAAGAGAAAGAGAGAGAGAGAGAGAGAGAGAGAGAGAGAGAGAGAGAGAAATGTTGATGATGAAATCGTGGAATGTAAACTTCTAGAATTGCTTTAAGTGGCCGAGATTGCTAAATGAACGAGGATGATTTTTGTAGTTATCATAAATGAAATTAGAAATATCATCGGACGTTTTTATGACTGCATTAGAGTCAGGGCAGTATTTTGTATTTTTTAAGGCCCTTCTCACTCCCCTCCCCCACCAACCAGATCAGCTTTTTCTTCCTTCTTCTCTCTTTTTCTTTTTTCTTTTTTCTTTTTCTTTTTCTTTTTTTTCTTACATTCATTGGAAATAAACGTCGAAATATAATTACGATATTTTGCGCGTGTCTATTAGCTCTGTGTGTGCTATATTTATGTATATCTGCATTTTAAAAAAAGGAATAAAACTAAATCGGTATAAAATTAAATTAAAAAAAAAAATAAAAAAAATAGATAAATAACTCTTAGAAAAAAAAACATAGCGTTATTCTTTTTCTGGCCTTGGCGAATATATTATTTTTTTTTTTTTGACATCGTCATTCAATCGAGGTATGGTAAGATTTAAAAATGTCACACGACCCGAGAATGATATTCTTATATGCCTTAATGATAAATTCGATTCTGACAGGATTACATGTTAAAATGAAAATTTTATCTTTCCCAATCGGTTTCTCTTTTGATATCGAAAGGATGAGATATGCACTTTCGATCGTTTCGATCTAATCTCGCATAATTTCTCTCTGTCTCTGTCTCTATCTTTCTATCCTCATCTTTTTTATCCTAGTTTGATCTCTCTCGTAACTTTTGTCAACAATAGGGTAAGCGAACTATTACGTCGTCTTAGGTCTATCATTTCGTTCGATTCTATCTATAATTTCACGCGAGATACCTCTCGATTTCTCTCTTAAGCTTCTTTTCTATTATACATCCAAGAGATCTTTCGTAGAGCGAATTTATCTTGTTGGCATTTGCCAATGGACGTATCTTCTACTAATACATAAGAACGTATATGTGTATGTACGTATGTACATATGTACGTACGTATATATGTATATATGTATGTTTGTATGTATGTATGTATATATATATATATATGTGTGTATGTGTGTATGTATGTGTGTATGTATGTATGTGTGTATGTATTATGTATGTCTGTACGAGACGGTATTTTTCGTGCCGATGCTAACTTTAGTAACAGCAGGAGCAACACAGCAGACTTCTCGAACTATTTTCTCGGTGGCGATCTATTCTAAAAGATATTCCTTTTCTTTTCTTTTGGTTTTGTTGTTGTTGTTTATTATTTAAACGAAATTTATATATTTAGTCATTCAATTTTGTCTACCCAAACATATACAAACTTATATATATATATATATATATATATATATATATATATATATATATATATACGTATATATATATTAATATATATTATATAGATTTATATAAGACATACATAATTTATTTATATAAATATATATTATATAGACAAAAGTTGAGTGATTCGATATACTAATTTTTTATTACAATGTGTACATATATATATATATATATATATATATATATTATATTATATTATTATATATTTGTTTTATTTTGTTCCGATAAAAAACGAGTATATACATATACACGTTTATAATACAATATACGAGATATATATATACATATTTTATTTCAACAAAATTTATATATCTTATCATTCAATTTATATTTATATAATATTTATATATAATAAATTATATATATATATTCGTATACACACACACGCGAGTTTATCAATTTCAATTTATTCAATTGAATATTATTTTCAATTTATTTTTAATGTAATTAACCAGAGAAAAAGAATTTCTCTTTCGAGAAGTCGTGTTTCTAAGAAGAGTGTTAAAAGTTAAAAGAGCAAAAAAAAAATGCCAAAGTAAAAAATGAATGGATCGTTGTTCCGTAGTATGAAAGAAAGAGTTCTGGTGAAAGATAAAGATCAAAGAGGGACGAACATAAAATAAGAAGGAAGAGGGAGAAAAAACGACAAGAAACAAAAACAAACTGAAAAATAAAATGTGATGTTAGATGGGGGAGTCTGGCATGATCAAAGGACGTAACTC